GGCCTCAGCCCATCGATCCAGCCTGTTAGTGGTTGTTAACCAATGTTATTGATTAAAATTGAAATGTCTCTTAGGTATTTGATAAAATCTACGTTTCTTAATGAAGAGTAACTTCTGACTCAGAAGACCTCATGAGGTTTTTATAAACACAGAGGAGACAGACTGCATCCTTGTATGTTAAAAGGATAGGTGTGAGGGAAAAGCAACACGTTCATGCAAATAGCGCATACACAAAAGAATGCAGTGTTTAGGTTGACCAGAAGTATTTTCAAAACTGGCAGAAATTCAAAGAATAATTTTAGTCAAAAAATGAAAAGTGTATTTCAAGTGAAACATCTCATTTTATGATTTACAGAGGAAAACATTTGATCTTGCTGGTTCAAAATGGTTTATTTTTTAAATATAACTACATTTTTTCTTTTGAATTTATGCAAAGACAGGAGTCTGGTTACCCTAAAACCACTTTTTTTATTTTCTTGGAAAGCCACAACCTAAAAAATTCTCCTTCCACCTGCCAAAAATGCTTTCATCATTTTTTCAGTTGCATCAGCCAGACTTGTTGTTCACATAGCTTTCAGTTTTGACAGTTATTACAGCTGTTCAACAGCAACGTCGCACAAAAGAGCTGAGAGAGGGGATGAAAGATACTGTCCCTTGGAGGCTGCGTAGGGGACCAAGGCCAGGCAGCCACATCCCCTGTCTCCCTCTAACAGCCTGAAATCAGGCAGAACCTTGTACTCGTTTGGAAGAATGGGTATCATATGCGTAAAATGGCTTCTGTTCCCTGAGATAAGGCCTGTTGGCAGGCGATGCATCCAGTGTGTTTATAGCAAGTCTAGATACCCACCTCAACTACCCTGGGGGCACGCGTGCTTCTCTCTGCAAAGGAACGTGCAATGCTGAAAAAGGAGGTAGGCTTTCCACTGTGATCTAGTAGGGCAGAGGATGTCTCCTGATTCAATTTCTACTACTTCTCCTGTGAGTATAGGAGGGATATTTTCTCTAGGAAGGAGATGTGGACAGTGTCCCAACTATGCCCTCTGACCAGGCTCCCTGCTTACACCGTTGAGCCCGTGGCTTGCCAGAAAGTTGGGAATTGTGGATGTACTGAGTCCCTTTACATTCTTCTTTCAGGTAGTCCCTCCAGCCCTGTGTATGCTGTGAGTGATGAAATGCAACCCATTAAACCCTTTGTGGAGGGTTTAATTTGCACATCCCCTGGCTGTGATTATTATGTCTTGTTATTTTTGTGATTATTACTCTCTAGGGGGAACCCCCATCTCTAGAGACTTTGAGAAGGCTCATCCAGGAGGAGTTAGCCAAACAGCTAGATGGTAAGTAATCAGCTCTGGGAAGTCAAAAGATATACTGAGAGTATGAAAGATACTCTCCACAGCTGTGGTGATACCCGAACCTCTCCTGCTTATGGAAGGCCAGGTTGCAACAAGCCTGCCTGGAAGGAGGAATGTGTAAAATGAAATGTGCTTAGCAAGCTTTACCATTCCCCAAGCTTGATGTTCCCAGCAATAGCGCAGGGGCTTTCTCCCTTCTTCAACCCAAGGCCATTGCCCGTGCTCAGCACCTGATGGCTTTTTGCTACCAAAACAGCTTTGCTGCAGACGCGTTCCTGCAGATGCCTGGGCTGAGATGGTAGGACAAGAGAAGATACACATTCAGACAGATTAATTTGGGGCCCTGGAAGAGAAAGTAATCAGAGTAGGACCTACACTTTCTTATGAGGTCCCAGCGGGACGAGGAATGTTCCTCATTTTTGGCTGCGACATTTCATACTTCTCAGTATGAGAAGAGAGGGTGGAGTGGATGTGGACTGCTGCTTCTCTCACAGTACATGGATTGCAGACCACTACTGACCCCATCTACAGTGAAATGCGGAGCTGTAGTGCTTTTTCTCACACAGCTCTTGGAGCAGCTGACGTATAGCTGCAGGCATTTTCCTCCATTCTAAAGATCATGGTTCAATGGAGTGATTTGTTTGAAGGATTTTATTTACACACTCTCAGACTTCAAATTCCATGCCAATCTAAAAGCATTCATGATTTTGGATCAACGAAGAGAAGATAGAAAACCCTTCTCCCTCTATTCTGTAAGATGTTTTTGTGATGCTGAGTGTGTCTGAAGAGCTCTCTAGGCTGTTCAGGGTCTTAATATGGAAGTGGCAAGCAATGTGCATGCTTGGAAATTGGAGAATATGCTGACGCAGGGAGCTGCCTTAGTTACAGTTTCTGACTTCACAGCCAGAGACGGGTACATGAGCTTTAACTCCACATGTGTAACAGCCCAGAACAAGAAAAGTAAGCTTTCTCCCTACAGAGCAGCCATGTAGTGTTTTGCTCTGTGTAGCAGAAGCAGTGGAAATAGGCTGCTTCTTTTCAGAGCAGCAATGATTCCAGTTTGACTGAAATCCATCAGCTGCACAGCTGAAGGAAAGGACATTTCAGATCCTTGGTGGACGAGGAGCAGAGGATGAAAGAAGTGTTTAGGATTAAGTGTGAAATTTAGGAGAAGTTTCAAGCTACTGAGAAATGAGGTTTAAGTAATTTAAAGAGGGTCAGGGAGGCACCATCATGGCTTACGGGGAAGGACTGTGTGGGAAAAACAAATGGGTGGCCCTGAAAAACTGATCTGTGACAATACTTGGACTTTACTGGGCCACTGGTTCTGGCTCTCTATCTCTTGGAGCACTGACGTTCTAGCCTAACAAACCCATTTCCCTCTCTTCACAGCAAAGTTAACCTATCTCCTGGCTCAGATACAGCCTGCACATGTAAAAGCATCCCATGGCAGACCAGGACCTCCTGGTCCCCCTGGGAAGGAAGGACTCCCAGGAAGAACTGGCCCTCCAGGAGAGCCTGGCCGGCCTGGACAGACTGGGTCTGAAGGGCCACCTGGACCGATTGGTCCCAAAGGTGAGTGAAACTTGGTGTGTTTGGGCAGTCCCATAAAGGGAGGTGTCCGCCACACTTTGGCAACCACCTCTCCTGTTAGTAGCATCTAAGTGGTCCTCAAAATGCATGTGTTAGGAGCAGCCTCCATCTGTTGCCCTAGAGGAGGTGAATGTAACCAGCAATTACTGCTGTGTTCCACCTCTGGCCAGAATTGGAGCGGGGCGAGTCTTCATTCCCAGGTAACATCCCATTTCAGAGGATTGGCCACAATTAGGAACTATTTTTAGCAAATGTATTGGCATCAGTGTGGATGGAAGACCTACGGTAGTTTACTTTCGTTCCGTAGATCATGCTCATCAGTTCATTATTTTTCTTTCCCTCTCTACAGGAGAAAGAGGAGCAAAGGGTGACAAAGGAGACACTGGTGTTGGCCAACGAGGGGAAATAGGTCCTCCAGGAATTCCAGGTGTGTTTATTCAGAACACCCCACAAAACGCATCATTCAGAACTGCTACAAGGACACAGGTCTCTACCATATTAGATAGATGATCAGGATAACGTAAATACGGCATACACAATTTCTGTAGAAAGTGGCCCAAAGGGCTGAAATACATCACCAGCATCGTATCTGGCCACCTTTGTTTCCTCAGCCTGAGTGACAGGTATAATGATCCACCTCACTAACAGCTAGGTTAACTGACCTTTGGGACAAATACAAAGTGAAGCTTTAATTACCGGATACACTGTGAAGCGTCCTATCTGCCCTTGCCAGAATCTTGTTGTGACCAAGCTGAACCCAGAGATCCAGGCAGCTTCAGATGTTGTAAAAGGTCATATCCAACACCTGTGCCTCAGGCATACAGTTCGTGCTTCACCTTTGCTGACAAAGAAACAGCAAACATATTTTGTTTCTAATTTGAAATTAGGAGCCATTGATCAGTCTTGCCTTCACCCTGCTTTGTTGGGGGAGGAAACTATGAGAAGCCTTCATAACTCCATGGTCTGCATTTGGCCATGATAATGGCAATGCCTGCATCACCTTAAAATGACAATGGACCCACTGTGCTTCATACGAATGAGTTATCTATCTCCCAAAGTTGGCTCTTGCCTCAAGCTTTCCCATCCTCACTTCCTCTCTATAAGGACTATATGTCGTTAGTTGGCTCGCGCACAACTTCAACGTGCTGATAGAGGGAGAGCAGCCATAGGAGAGTTGTGCAGCCCAAGGATGCCATAGGGGGTGGAAATCTTTCTTTCAGAGGACACACTTGTCACATCCTTGTAGATAGATGCTAGCTAGACCCAAATCTGTGGAAGCTGATGTCTGCATCCCAGTTTGGCAACAAAGCCATCTCCTGTGACGTTACACTGCTAGGTACTGCACCCTGGGGGTGTCACTCACCAAGGGCATTTTATTTTTATTTTAGGCCTCCCAGGGGAGCCTGGCTATGCCAAAGACGGGATGCCAGGACCACCCGGCCCTCAAGGCGAAGCTGGTATGCCTGGTCTCATGGGTCCACAGGGACCTCCGGGAGCCAACGGACAGT